TATCTATTTTAAAATTTTAAAATAGAGAGTACTGTAGTTTAACTTAGATGTTTTTAAAAATAAAGTCTCTTTGAGATGATCTGGTATGGAGAATACTGAATACATTCAAAGACGATAATTGTGTAACAAATATGTTAATTTTCATATCCTATATCCTAGTACCAAAAAATGTTAATTCAAATGTTTTGAAAATTGTAAACTTTCATAGATCCCTTTCCATAAAAGTTGATGCGGATCAATTGGAAGATGAAATTCCAAATTAATTTTAAAAAATGAAGGAATAAGAATGATGTATGAAATGTACGTAACTTTCAACTTGATCGTCATAATTTCACGAACAAGTGCAATGCGGAAGCGTTTTTTGATTCTACACATTTTGTCAGATGGCCATCGTCGTCGAACTTTTAGGGATCAAATTTCATCATTTAGAGGTCGTTTTCTGTTTTTAGTTAATTTTAAGGGTATTTCGCAATTTTTTTAGTTTTATTTTATCTACATTTGGATCTCAATGTGATTATGATTTGCTTTGAGTCTTTAAATACATGTTGTGAACAGATTACATTTATATTTTGATAAATAATATTTTAGCTTTTTTCATTAATCGGTAGATTTTAATAATTCTCACGTTCGTTCGAGTGAAATTTGAACAACACCCTTCGTATGTTATGAACAAGGACATGTTATTACCATTCACATTTTCGTCATGTACCAAAGACTACTCATAATGATACGAGTATCCTTACTCACAAGAACATATTATTACCATTCACATTTTCATCATGCATCAAAGACTACTCGTAATGATAGGAATATCCTTACTTTCTTTTGACCCCCTCCCTCCTATTACATTAAGCCTTTAGGTTTAGATTAAATCCCATTGTTCGCCACCATTAAAGAAGCAAAAGATTCGAGAGTCCAAGCTGAAAATACATGCATAGATAGTGGTCTAACGTCAAGTGTTATAAAGTTGTTAAGAAAGAAGTCTGTATATGATAAATATTTCATGTGAAATATTAGGGCTAGACATGGTTCAGTTCGATTATAAAGAGAATCGAATCGGACCCGAAATTTTTGGGTATTTACTAAGTAGAACAGCCAGGTCCAAATTTAATTATGGAACCATTTGGGTTCAGTTCGGTTCGGTTCTTAGGTTCCGTATTATCATTAAATTTTTAAATATTTACAAAATTACATTAATTCAACTAATGATATGTTCGATTTTAACTCTTACAAAATAAATTAGTTCAATCTTATGTGTCTTTTGCATCTATCTTTGCTGAGCTTTTCATAGATTTGATTGCTAAAATCATAGGAAGAGGAAAATAACGAGCTCACAATAATTAAGAGAGGCGTTGTCGAGTTTCAATTCGATTTCTCTAGAACGGTAGAAACGGCACTACGATAGAGTTAATATTTGGATAAAATTTCGGTCAATTTGATTAAGTTGGCTTTGAAGTGAAAATTAGAAATAAGAAAATCATATTTTTGGATTTGAGCTAAATTAACTAGTTAGCAAATTTATTTAGAGCAATAAAATAATTTGATTTATTTAGAGCAGATTCAGTTATTTGATTTTTGATCTAGAATCGAAAATCGAACCAAACCAAATCCGTCGGTTCTCAATTCAGATACCCGTTCGGGTATTTAGCTTAAAAAGAATCGCTCAGTTCTGTTCGATTGGTTCAGTTCATGAGTTTTGTCCAGCCCTATGAAATATCGAATGAACAATATTAGACTTTTAAAAGTATAACAAATATTAATTTGATTTTAT